TGTCCGCCTGTGTGTGCCTGAGTACATGCGCCTCTGTGCGTACCCGTATTTTGTGTATCTGTGAGTGTATGTGCATCTGTGTGTACCTGTTTTTGAAAATATATTTTGTCTGTGCCTGTAAGAGTGTATGTGTCTCTCTGAATGTGTGTCTGTATTTGTCTTTGAGTGAGTGTGTCTGCATATATAGATCAGTAGAAACATAGCTCGATGCTAAGGATTCAAAATCCAATCCATAAATGAAGGAAGATTATGCATTTTGTAGCTTAAAGATTCAAAATCTCGATAATGTGTGAGAGAAGATTTGGAGTTTTATTTGCTGTGAATACATTGCAGCTTCTGATGATGGTTTTCTTTTTTAATGAGCTCAATTATTCAATGTGTCTTAAAAATTTATGAAACCAACCCAAGCTTCCCAGTGCCTGGTCCAACCTATGTGTGTTCTCTGGCTTATAGGACAAGTGTCGGCTGGAAGCTTCAAATTGAGTGCTGGCTCTGAGCTACAGAGGGCAGCAGAGCAACATGCAAACCAGGCAGAGAGTTCAGGTTCGGAGATCAAAGGCACCCCTCCATCCTCCCCAACCTTCAATTCTCCCTACCAAAATAATCCACGTCCTTCAGTGGTGTGCCTGTTAAAGCTTAATTCACGTTTTGAGACAGCTAGGTTCTCCTTTGCAAGAGAAATTGCAGGGAAGTGGCATTTCTCTCTCTCTTCACCTACCCAAAGTCTTGCGAATAATTCCTGGAAGACCGGTAGTGCTGGTCATTGTTACTAACCACTGCCAGCGATTAAAGGATAGAACTGACCTCTTGCAATTATGGCAGGTGTGGGGAAGGGATTGCAGAATGGAGTTGATACCTGGGCAATCTATGTGATTAGCAAAGCTGTAGCTCTTGTTATCAGCTAGCTGTTTAGAAAAAGGCATAGAGGTACCTAGGAAGATGCTAAAAAGAAATTCTTGAGGATGATGTAAGAAGTAAGAGCTTATATTTATTGGGGATGGTTATTAAGCTTGTTTTGTATCATGTAGTTCTGTGCTAGCCGCTTGTCTGTTTTCAACAATATTAAAGTGAATGTATTTGTCAAATATATATCTTTGTCTTGTGAATACCTCAAGGAGTACTGCGTTTCACAAATAGGCAGTTGGTTAGAACAAGCTCTGCTTCCTGGTGGGCATCTTTTGCAATTTGCTGAAAATACAGTGCAGATTTATTTTCCAGCTTCCAATGTATAAAAGCCATTGGAAAGGCATTCCAATGTCATCGCTGTTACAAAAGTAATGGCAGCAGTAGTTCAGAAAGATAAAGTCATGGTTACACAATCACAACTTCGCAAACTCAGGGTGACTGCAAATAGGAGAGTCTTTTTCTTAATTGCTCAGAGAGAGAGAAAAAACTTATGCAAGGTCTGATATTGAGGATTCACAGGTTGCAAGAGTCAAATTTCACAATTAAATGCAACAGAAACATTTAATTGGTTACAAAATCTCTTCACCACTTTTGTTTTGTTTGATTCCATTGATGGAAGGATTGAGAATGAGAGGGCACCAATTTAAAATGATTGATTAAATGAAGCAGCAGTGCATGGAAAAGATCTACCTTGCAGAGAGTGACCTAGAGTCATAGTCAGAATCATACAGCATGGAAACAGATCTTTCAGTCCAACTCATCCATGCCGAACAGACATCCTAATCTGATCTAGTCCCATTTGCCAGCATTTGACCCATATCTCTCTTAAACCCTTCCTATTCATATACCCATCCAGATGCCTTTTAAATGTTGTTTTGTACCCGCCTCCACCACTTCCTCTGGCAGCTCATTCCATACATTACGATGCAGCACTCTTTGCGTGAAAAAGTTACCCCTCAGGTCCTTTCAAAATCTTTCCCCTCTCACATTTAAACCTAGTTTTGGACTCCCCACCCTAGGAAAAAGATCTTGGCTATTCACCCTATCAATGCCCCTCATGATTTTGTAAACCTCTATAAGGTCACCGCTCAGCCTCTGACATTGCAGGGAAAGAAGCCCCAGTCTATTCAGCCTTTCCCTATAACTCAAACTCTCCAGTTCTGGCAACATGCTTATAAATATTTTCTGCACCCTCAAGTTTAACAACATCTTTCCTCCTAGAGAAGCATGACCAGAATTGACTTATGATTTTGGAATACACTGCCTGAGATTGCCAATGCTGGCAGATTCAGACATGGCTTTCAAAATTGAATTAGATAATCACCAGTTGGCTGGACAGCCACTGTGATTAGATTGATGCTAATAAATAGGATATGATACGTGATTCAGCTGGGAGAGGTTTGGGATCTGGCTCCTTGCCTTACCCAGGGTGGAATCATGGTGCTGTGAGGTGGACAGAGGACTCAAAGAAGATCAAAAAACATAGAAGTAACAAAGGTATTTCCACTTGTGGAGGAGTTTGAAACAAACGGCTATAAGATATAACCACAAATCAGCTAGAAAATTCAAGAGAAACCAATTTACCCAGACAATGATGTAATTGTGGAATTTGCTTCAACATAGAGTGAATGAGGAGAATGAGATATATTTGGGTAGTGATAGTGTCACTGGACTAGTAATCCAAAGCTAATTCTTCTGAGATGCCATTGGCAGAATTTAAATTCTGTGAATAAAGTTGGCATATAAAACTCGTCTCAGTGTTGGTGACCATGGCAACTATCATCCATTGTCATAATAACTCAACTGGTTCAGTAATGTCGGGTCAGGCAGCATCCATGGAGCGAGAACAAGCTAATGTTTCAAGTCTAGATGACTCTTCATCAGAGCTCCAATGAAGAGTCATCTAGAGTTGAAACGTTAGCTTGCTCTCTCTCCATGGAAGCTGTCTGACCCGCTATGATTTATTGTTTTCAGTATGGATTCCAGCATCTGCAGCAATTTGCTCCTACATTTAGGTTCACTAATTTCCTTTAGAGAGAGGTAACCAGCTATGCTTACCTGGTCTGTCCTGCATCTGACTCCAGAGTGACATCAATGTGGTTGACTCCTAATTGCCTTCTGAAATGGCCACATAAGCCACTCAGAGATGCCAACATTCCATAATTTAAAAATACAATATTAATAGGATTAGAAGGTGTAGGGGAGAAGGAGGCTTATGTGGGGCGTGAGCACAAACATGGGCAAGGTAAGTGGAATGGCCTATTTCTGTTCTGTGAACTCAATGTCATATAATGAAACTAATCAGAGCAATTATTTATTGATTGAAATTTAATTTTTCAAACTGGCGCTAAAGACTAAGCTCCTCAAGGGCCCAATATGTGTCTGTTCCAAGTTTGAGGATTTCTTCATTTAAGTCAGTGGCATCCTGTCCTAGTTCACTTTTGAATTGAGAAAAAAATTTGATAATAAGCCATTTAATATTTCGTGACCTATTGTCCTTTCTACATTGTATTAATTGAAAGTATTTTGCCCTCAATGATGTTGCCTTCATTCTAGGTGCAAGCCAATATATGAAGGATTGCTTTCAGGCAAGACCTTAATCCCTTAAAGATTTAAAAGAATTTTATCTCACAGATCAACACACCATATCCTGCACCAGCAATGCCTCCAGAAGCAGATCAAACAGGCAAGTGGGTTAAAGAAATTAGAATAGTTCAGGGCATTTTACAGAGAAGGTGAACTGCTCGTAATCCAGGATGAAATCAGTTGGGCTGGGCAATTTTGGTAAGCAGCACCCATTCACTGTGCTTTAGTGGTAGCTCTCTTGCCTTAAGTCAGAAGGTTGTAAGTTTTAGAAATACTTAGGAGACATAGTCGGCTCATATATACTGAAACTCCAGTGCAGTACTCCAGGAATGCTGCAATGTTGCAATGTTGAAGCTGTTAGCCTTTGAGTGACGTGTTAAACTGAGGACCTTTTCTGACCGCTATGGAGAACAAGAGATCCCACATACTCTGTGTGGAAAAGAAACAGGCAAGCTATCCTCCATGTCCTGGTTAGCCCTCAGTCAACATTGCCTAAAATAGATGATCTGGTCATTAACATATTGTTTTTTTGCAGAAGTTTGCTGTGTACAAATTGGTTGCTATGTTTCCTATATTGACTGTAGGTGATCATACTTCACAAAGTAGTTTATTGGCTGTGAAGGTCTTTGGAGATTTTGGAGGTTGTGAGAGTCTCGATATAAATGTCAATCTTCCTTACTAAAACCAGTTGTGAGGAGAACAATATTAGAGAGTAAGGTACTATTGCAAGATAATATGGTAAATACCATTTTCCTTGGAGTTTTGATGTTTTATATTTCAGTGTTTTTCCTTCTTCACTTGAGTTATAGGAGCAC